AACACAGAGCTGTCTCCAGCCCTTTCTGCCTTTTCAGGTCAGTTGAAGATAAGAACAAACCAAAGTGTTCATCATCTCACCTGCCTCTCAACAGAGAATGTCTCTGTTCTGTTCAGCAAAATGTGTTGGGTTTTGCTCCACAAACACCCAGTGTTTTGGTGGCCATCAAAGCGTTTCCTATTCTTCATCTTTGACATCCTACCTGGAGTTAGGGTCAGAGCCCACAGGCTGAGGGCTTAGTCCCCAAGCATCCCCTCTTCGTCATACTCCACTCACAAGTAGTAGGTTGTCTTATCTCCTTCTGACCAACCAGCGGTTAAGTTGAAGGTTCCTTGAAGCCCTTCTCAGGTGTGATTATTTGCAAGGCTGGCTCACTGCTCTCAGTGACACACATTACATGTCTGTGTTTTATTATGAGGGGCATTTGACAGGACACAGATGCATAACCAGATGAAAAGACTCAGAGGGCAAGGCTCATTGAAGCTTCACTGGATGCCCCACCTTCCACACACATCCATGTGTTCAGCACTTGGAATTTCTCCTAACTGCACAGTGTAGACCTTTTTATGAAAGTGTCATCATTGATACAAACTTACCTCTGGTCCTCTCTGTTTCCTTCAGGATGTTGTTTGGGGCTGATTATTTAAGGCTTGTAATCATAGCTTGATCTTTCTGGTGACCAGCCCTTATGCGGGACACCATAGAAGTGGACTCATTAGAACATGTCACGTGCCTTTCACCTAGGAAATTTCAAACTCTTGGAAGTGTATGTGAGGAACCTGGGAGGGGATCAATTTATGTGTTTCTTCTTATTTCACAAGATCCCTGAGCCACTCCTTACTTAACTTTATCCAAAGTTTTCTGCTGTGTGTAACAGAGGACGAAGTCAGCTCCTCTGAGATTTTCACTCAGTGAAAGGAAAAGTGAGGGGACAGAGTGTCCTGCGTTGGATCCCCAGGTCCACGTGGTGAGCATAGCTCACTAGAATGGTGGGTGTGGTTCCTAGTGTTGTTTGTTTCAGGCACTGCTACTCTCATCTTGTCCATTTTCACATATTATACATGATCCTGGTTTTTATATATTTCATCCTCTGTGTTAGTATCGTGTATGTTTTTCTTTGTCTTTATTCCCTTTGTGGATTGTCCTGTCTAGGATGTGTTGAGATGCTGTACCATTGTGAGTCTACTGATTTATATATTTTAGGAGTTGTCTTTGTTTAATAGAGACTCAGTTGTAGCCAACAGGAATTTCCTGAAACCCTCTGCAAAGTGGACGGTACCCATTGCTCAGTGGGTAGGATGCCGGTCACATATACTGAGGATGGCCATGAGGATGGCAGGTTCCAACCCGGCCCGGCCCAGCTAAAACAACAATGACAACTGCAACAACAAAAAAAATCTGGGCATTGTGGCAGGCACCTGTAGTCCCAGCAACATGGGAGGCTGAGGCAAGAGATCACTTAAGGCAAAGAGTTTAAGGTTGCTGTAAGCTATCACACCACAGTACTCTACGAGGACAACATAGTGAGACAATCTGAAAACAAACAAAGATTAAAAACCTCTGCAAAGTTGAAATGGTTTTCTTTGTCTTTTTTGCTCAGGCTAGTCCTGAACCTTTGAGCTCAGGCATCAAGTCCACCTCATCCACCCAGAGTGCTAGGATTACAGGCGTGAGCCACCAGGTCTGGCCGCCATTAACTAAAGTTTTGATGTCATATACAGTAAGGGTCCACCTTCCTTTTTCTTGTGGATATTCAATTTCCTTGGCACTATTTGTTGAATGGCTTGTCCTTTCCCCTTTGTAGAATGTTGTTATCACCCTCATTGACCATCATTAGACATTGTAGTTGAGGGATTCTGACTGGTTCTCTGTGTCATTGCTTTCTACTTCTGTCTCCATGGCAGTACTGCACTCCTTGGGTTAGGCGGCTATGTAATAAGTTTTGTAATTGTTGTAAGGTGAGACCTTCTGTTTCATTTCTTTGAAGTTCCTTTTGCTATTGAGGTGACAGTGTGGTTTCTTTTTAGTTTAAGGGCCCATTTCTTTCTGTAGGAAGTTTCGTTGGGAGTTTGCTAAGGATTTTCCTAAATCTGTGGGTCACTTTGTTTGTTTTTAACATTTAACCTGATGTTAATGTTGTTCCAAGAATAAACATGGGACTTTGTTTTCTAATTTCAGATTAATATGAAGGTATCAATGATTAGGTTACATTGTTTGCATTTGTTAGGTAAACTCCAAGTTGTAGTTGAGCCCTTCACCCAGGAGGTATGCCATAAATCACTACAGTGTGCCCAAAGGTTGTGAGCTCACAAAATCCCCTAGCTCCTCCCCACTTCTTCCCCGCATGAATTTAATTGTGTTTTTCTCTCATGTGTGCATGCAGGTGCTCATCTACCAGTTTCATAGTAGTATTGAGTACATGGGATGCTTGCTTTTTCATTCTTGTGATCCTTTACTTATGCTGAATGTTCTCCAAATCCATCCTGCTAAATACAAAAGATGGAAAGTCACCATTGTCCCTTACGGCTGAATAGTATTCCGTGATCTACATATACCATAGATCATTTATCCATTCATGAGATGATAGGCACTTGGGTTGTTCCTGCATCTTGGTGATTGTGAAATGAGCTGTGATAAATATTCTAGAGCTGAAGTCTTATGGTCAAATGAATTCTTTTCTTCTGGGTAGATGTCAAATAATGGGATTGTGTGATGAAAGGAAAGGTCCACTTTGAGCTCCTTCAGGATTCTTCATATGTCTTTTCCAAAAGATTGTATGAATTTCTAATCCCACCAACACTGTATAAGTGTTCCCTTTTCTCCATACCCACACCAGGATCTCCAGGTTTGGGACTTGTGATGTGGGCTATTCTCACTAGGGTTAGGTGGTACATCAAGGTGGTTTTTTTTTTATTTTTTATTTTTTGTTTCTGGAGACAGAGCCTCAAGCTTTTGCCCTGGGTAGAGTGCCATGGCATCAAAGCTCACAGTAACCTCCAAGTCCTGGGTTCAAGCGATTCTCCTGCCTCTACCACCCAAGTAGCTGGGACCACAGCCACCTGCCACAGCGCCAGGCTATTTTTTGGTTACAGCCAACATTGTTGTTTGGCAGGCCTGGGCTGGATTCGAACCCGCCAGCTCAGGTGTATGTGGCTGGCAACTTAGCCACTTGAGCCACAGGTGCCGAGCCCATCAAGGTGGTTTTTATTTGCATATTTCTGCTGATTAGGAACAATGAGCATTTTTTTCATGTATTTGTTGGCCATACATCTGTCTTCTTCAGAGAAGTTTTTTTCATGTTGTATGTCCAATAATCAATGAGATTGTTTGCTGTTTTCTTACTGATTAGTTTGAGCTTTATGTAGATTTTCTTGTATTTTTACTAATATGTAAGCAGGTTTCCTTAAATATCTTATTTTTCCTACAAAACTACCTGTCCCTTTTACAGCAACTTTCAGCAAATGTTGTATTTCTCTACTCTCTCTCTTCAACTCACCCATAATCCTCTGAGCCCCTATAGATTTCCCTCTGTTCCAGTGTATCATCTCACCTCCTTAAGATCTTAGTATTGGCTCGGTGCCTGTGGCTCAAGTGGCTAAGGTGCCAGCCACATACACCTAAGGTGG